CAAAACTATTTCTATGGTTCTCGTTTTGCATACGATTATTTATTGTCACATTGTTACTTTGCAGAAACTTCTGCTTCTCGTTGAACTTCCAAAAATAATACTTATTTCTTAAAAGAAATACAATATATTCACGACCTCTCGTTGCTTCAAAGAACAAACTGTATGCGGATTTTAACTTGAAACTTAAAAACTTTATACATACCATAAACATTGGAAAAATTGTTGGTGATTGCTTTAACAATTACATTCATTTATAGTGACAAAGTCCTTATTTATTTCAAATATTTCGCTCATACCTGTGCAAAGTGTTACATGCGCAAAGGCTTCTCTAATTCTGAGGTGATAGACTAGAAGGTAAGCATTTAGTCAACAGCAGCCACCATCAATTCTTGGGCTACTATTGCCTTACCGAACAGTGGGATTTTACTGTAGTTATAGCACACCGACGGTCCCAATGTATGGGGTACGATTTTGCGGCAAACGGGCCGCGAACCATGAACCCTTAGATTCGTAGTCCGAACACTAACCACTAGGCTACTTTCTGCTCACCAGTGAAAGAGGGAGAAAAAGATGCTAAATGATTGAATACCTAAAAAGATTTTAACTAATTTCCCAGGTTTTATTACGAATTTTGGGAAAGCATGGTATAGTACTAGAGTCGAGAAATACACATTAAAATCCCAATACACACGCTGGAAACTGCTATATTTGAATATTATTTTCTGACATATTTATCATCTTGCTTATTAAAATTGTTTGGGACATTTTGTTCATAAAAGTATTGTTGTAGGTTATATTTTTAATATTTTGTTTTACACCATGTATACTGATTATGTGAAGTCCAAAAGTTTTATGAAAGTATAGGCTTCTGTGTAACCTCGAAGATTCCTGTAATACGTAGAAAACTAATAGAATATAAAAATGCCAGACTGAATGAGTTAAATTAGTTACTCAGTACAATGTCAGTTAAAGAGTTATACTTGGTTAGACAGTAAGAGTTAGCGAGTCTATTAATAAGTTAGTCAATCAGTGTGTTTCGTATGGATGTATTAGCGAGGAATTCTTGCAAGTAAGTAACTGATTACGCTTATTTTGTGATTTAGGCGTACCATTAGTCTCCGAAATTCTTCTCATATGTTGTTTGTGAAATTAGACCTACCAGTGAACTTAGCCTGTATAGAACGTTATTGAGAAAAATAAATTAGTTCGTTTTCGTTACGTTGTTCGCATTATTTTTAACACATATCCCCAAAATCCCGCCCAACATGAAACCTGGAATTTGAAGGTGCAATCCTGCAAGTTGGAATAATAAACCTACTCCTTAAAATAAGAGATAAGATATAACTAGAGAAACCTATAGGAATCAAATTTTATTATTTGATACGTTTGTTTGTCTGCTGTGTCCAACGTGGGGAATCGGACTCCGGATTTTAACGCTGTAAATTAGTAAACTTACCATTGTCATATCGGGTAACTTAATACGTATGCGAAATTGTGTTTAATATTTTATTTTATGTTATGGTAATCAAGGAGTCGTCCTTTTTTTTTGTTAGAAATGATATTTAAAGCAAATTTCGTTATTAGATACGTATGCGAAACGATATATGATATTTTATTTTATATTATGGTAATCAAGGAGTCGTCCTTTTTTTTGTGTTAGAAATAATATTTAAAGCAAATTTCGTTATTAGATACGTATGCGAAACGATATATGATATTTTATTTTATATTATGGTAATCAAAGAACTGTTCATTTTTTGAAGTTAGTTCGAGTGTGTGTGAATAAGTTAGCTTGAGCATGAAACATTAATTTTACACAGTATAGCGCCTTGTGTACTTGTAGGTTCGGCAGAATGACCAAACTTGGAGGTAAATTACCTGCACGCTATTCATGAATTAATAATAACGATGTAGGCACTTGCGAATTGTACTTTTTCATGTTTTAATAATTAATTCCGTATATGTATTCCACAGTGTAAACATAAGCCTGAAGTTATAAGCCACATTCGTAGCCTATGCTTATTTGGTCTTTAAAATAGCACATTTGGAGGCTATAATGCCTAACAATTTGATTCAGTCACGAGCAGTAATGGCTTGTTTAACTATTCATAGACGTCACAATGTAGCAAAGAACTTGATGTCGAACACCTGCAGATCTGTAACTAGAGCGCTGTGAAAGTAAAGGCAAAAAAATCGATATTTATAAACTATTGTTGCTGTTTTATGTTACCGTGACTCCACCTGGACTTCGTTGTTAATAACTGACGTATATAACATCTTATGGATTAGTCTCATTTTTAAGTAGAAATATAATTTTTTTTTGGGGGGGGGGTTATTTGAATGCTAAACACACTTATACCTTTAACTCCTTAGAATGATACCCTCTCCCCCTTCGCTTTTTTACCAACTCGTTAGCTCATATTCATTAATACTATTGAAGGAATACAGAATGAGGTTTTTTCAAGCACTCATATAAAATGTTTTTCCAACACAGAATCTTATTTAAACACTTGTGTGACAAAATGTTTTAAATCTTTATAAATACAAGTGCTGTTGTTAATGAATTTTGTTTGTTTGTTATTAAGCACAAAGCTACACAATGGACTATTTGTGCTGTGCTTACCACTGGCATCAGCACCCCAATTTCTAGCGTTGTATAAGCCCTCAGACTTACCGTTGAGCCACTGGAAGGCCTTTCAACGAACATATTTTGAATCGTGCTCAGTATCTTCTAAGAAGTATTAAATAAATTTACACTCTGAACTTTATAAGACAAATATAAAATGATATACAACAAGTAAATTTTCAGTCACTAGAAAAAAAAACAAAACAGTTTTGCTCTTTGAAACCACTAACAAGTAATTTTTTCTTCGTAATAGAAGCATGTGCTGAAAACAAGTGAATGCATCCTACTGATATTTGCCAAATTGCAGATCGTATACAATACTGAGGTTGAATTCTGGGAATTGAAATTTATGTCTTATATGGAATCCCTATAAGTTGGATGCGAAACCAGCAACCTTGGATATACTTTGATGAGAAACAAACATTATAAAGACTTCTAATGAATCTATTAAACACGATCCTAGGTTCATATATTATATAGCTGATGATCTTATAGAACTTTCTTAAAGTAAATTAGGTTATTAAGAACATTATTATTGTCACTGAATGTCTGGGAAATTCGCACAAAGAGTTTTATATCTGAACGTTTGATTATACAAACCTTGTACACCAAGGGGGCCCGCAGAAGAAAAACAAAAATTAAGGGGGGTTCAAGTAACTCAAGTTAGAAGAAATTTTGAAATCCAAATACCTTATGATTTTCCAATAATATAGAATAATAATTGCCCCTTTGCCCCTTCCTGCGGACGCCCTTGGTGTACACAGAATTTTCCAATTACAGATTTTATATAGAAGTTCTGTTGACATTTTTTGTACTTGTTTGTTTGTTTGTATTGAATTTCGCGCAAAGCTACACGAGGGCTATCTGCGCTAGACGTCCCTAATTTAGCAGTGTAGGACT